TCTTGCTATAGGCTCTGTTTGATTGTATTTTATTTGATATATTGCATGTTTTTTTTCTTTACTATATAAGTCTAGTGGATTGCTTTAAAAAAGTCCTGGATTCTTTCTTAGATACACATAATATAACTGGATGCCAACATTTACAGGTAAAGTTGATCCAGGGAATATCCGATTGCCTCTCGGGGATCAGAAAGGGATTTTTTTTTCCCAGCAGGAGCAAATTGGATCATGCTTGCTGGGTTTTTTTTGCCGTCCTGTGGATCAACTGTGGGTATAGAATTATAATTTTTTTTTAAAATGGTTAAACTAGATGGACTTTTGTCTTTGTTCAGCCAGACTAACTATGTAAGTTTGGGTCTCATTTAGGGAACCTACAGGAAATATTATGGGGTAGATGTACTAAAACTGAAGAATGCTAAATCTGGTGCAACTCTGCATAGAAACCAATCAGCTTCCAGTTTTTTTTGTCAAAGCTTATTTGAAGAAGCTGAAGTTAGAAGCTGATTGGCTGCCACGTACAGCTGCACCAGATTTTGCACTCTCCAGCTTTAGTAAATCAAACCCTTTGCATGCTTAGGTGAAAGTGACTGGTGCTGCAGCTCCTGCAGGCGTCCTGGCATCCTTACGTATGTTGTATCTGGGTATAAAATCCAGGGAACATATCTACGTCCTCTGCTTCTGCCTGCACACCCTGACTCTAGACTGACCAATCCATCCACCCAGTGTGCTCTCTAGTATATACTTTTATACAGTCATCCAGAAGAAGGTTTTTTCCAAGGCTCTGCATTTGGATAGCTTTTTCATATAGTCAGTTTGTCAGGGGTTCCAGCATGCATTTTTGCAGGCAATACCAAGCACTAATCAGCTAAGTACGTTAATCCTCCTTAAAGGGTAAATTCTTACTTGACCTCTAGCTATATACAGCACATGGTAACAGCATTAAACGGTGACCCTCCTCTTCTGCTTTCCCCACATTGCTGCTGGGACAGAAGCACATCAGGTTGGACGCGGCACCAACATGTTAGGCCCTAACACAAGCGGGCCCCTGATTCCATCCTGACAGAGCATGAGGCATCTACGGGAGACGATAATATAGCAATAATTAGGAAGGTTGCAGCTGCTTGATGATCAGTCCGCTTGTATGTTTTCACCGGGGATAGACGGATTAAATGACAGTGGCAGCACACTCAGGAATTGATGCATTCACATGCAAACGGTCTTCCCTCTCTCCCAGATGTGCGCCGGCTGAATGGGAGGTAAGGACGGGACAACTGCATTTCTGTTTCCTATAGAAATTCACTAATCCTCTGGTTTAATCTGCCAACATCTTCCTGTAAGATTTATCTTTTATTATGATTGTCTTTTATAGGAAAATAATACGCCAGTGGCGTTCGGTTTCTTTGACGGCCTTGAAACGAAATATAGAAAAAAAAAAATATTATATAATTGTGCAGCTGAAAAGATTAGGCGCGTGCAATCGGAATTAATCAGTGATTTCACTTTCAAATGAAGCAGATTTGCTTCTGCATATTTTTACAAATGTTGTCTGGCTGAAGCAAAGCCTTCATATGTAGTCTTGGTATAGCGGGCATTATTGAGAAGGATGAATTTTCACATTGGCAGACTATGGGAGATGTAGGCCATGGCTGTGACAGGTTAACCTTTCCCAAAATACACTTGTGTAGGGATCACAGATTAGCACGTTGTCACTCCTCCCATTCGTGTCACTGCTTGCTGCGTAGTTTACAAAAACTAGGTGAAGTTAAGTGCTGTCTGTACTTTAAATGGTCATAACTAGAATTCTAGCAGGAAAGTAAATGTTATCCCTAACTGAATGGCACTTAGTTTGCTAAAGCTCTGTGTATCATAAACAGGGGTCTTATTTTTTTTTGTTTAAACTACTCATTGTCACCTTGTTCCCATTCTTTGTTGTATCTCAATGCTGCTTATCTGCTGTAGCCTCTTTGCACCAATTTCCTGCTGACATACATACACCCCAGCAATGGCTTCATGGCATTTCTAAGGGTGAGTTTTCTGATAGTGAAAACACTGGACCATAGCTGTGCAATTTTGCATTGAAATGTGTTCTGACCAAAAACCTTAATGGAGGGATCACCATGTATTATATTAATGAAAGCTACAAATATATAGATATATAGAAAACATTAACATTTTAAAGTTTGTATAATATTTAAGTGATTGGGTTTACATCAGGGGCACACTGACAACTCATGGGGCCCCCGGGCAATAGGGGATCATGGGGCCCGGGTGTCCTTGCCCAAACTCAAAAAAGCCTATGAAAAAGGTACCAGGGGCATCTCATGGGGCCCCCTACTGACCCCGGGCCCTCGGGCAGTGCCCGAGTTTCCAAATGGTCAGTCTGCCCCTGGTTTACATATACAGCAAGATGTATCTAAAGCCAAAACTTTTTTTTTTATCATATTTTACCAAAAGTGTGCCTTTTTTCACAATAATTTAAAAAAAAAAATGCCAATATATATTTTACTCACTTTGGCAAGAGCATGGGGGCATGGTCTAGAGACTAGATTGTGGAGTGTTACGTCAGGTAACTGCTTGAGTCTGCAAAGAAAAAACTGTTGTGATAGGTGGCTGTGAGAGATGGTAACAAGCAGGGGGGATGTTTGGGAATACTACTTCTGGATTACAGACATGTATGCAAAAGGGGTTCTCAGGTCATAAGATTGCCAACAAAAAGTAATAGTGGTAGACACATGCATTGCACCTCTACATGGATTCCTTTAGCTCATGGGTCTCCAAACTTCTTTAAAAAAAATGGCTAGTTTAGACCTTAGGGGGGCTGGACTGTGCCCAGTCTTTGGTTATTTGGGGGAGGAATAGTTGATGTCAGTGGGAGGAATAGTGCCCCATTGTTGGTGCCAGTGGAAGGAATTATGCTCCATTGTTAGTGTCAGTGGAAGGAATTATGCCCCATCGCTGGAGTCAGTTGAAGGAAAAGTGCCCCACTGTTGGTGTCAGTGGAAGGAAAGGAATTATGCCCCATTATTAGTGTCAGTGGAAGGAATAGTGCCCCATTGTTGGCATCAGTGGAAGGAATTATGCTCCATTGTTAGTGTCAGTGGAAGGAATTATACCCCATCGCTGGAGTCAGTTGAAGGAATAGTGTCCCACTGTTGGTGTCAGTGGAAGGAAACGAATTATGCCCCATCGTTAGTGTCAGTGGAAGGAATAGTGCCCCATTGTTGGCGTCAGTGGAAGGAATTAAACCCCATTGGTGGTATTATTGGCAGGAATAATGCCTCAAAGCTGGATAAAGTCAAGCAAGGGGTTGCATCCAGCCCCAGGGCCTTAGTTTAGAAAGCATTGCTTTAGCTGCTGGTACCTAAGCTGCTGGTACAAGAACACAAGGCAGCTTTCAAAAGGCAGGTTCTGTTCTTCGGCAGAACTTCTGATTGAATAAATGTCAATTTGTTGATAGCTACCACTTGACCTACTATTGTGACTGTGCTTAGATTAAAGCAGCTGAAGGGAGCCCAGAGCTGTTAGAGTGGTAGGCAAAAGGCAGCTTTGCTTTATTGTTAGTACCGGGTTACTCTATTTTAGAGTAGAGGTTAGGTCCACTTTATGATGGCCATATCCATACAGATTTTATCTGTCAAATAACAAAATTTATCAACGATATTGTGGGGATTAACCGAACTGGACATAATTTGAATGGATTATTTAAAAAGGCTCTTACACTATATTGCTGTGTTGGCAGATATGGTTGATCTGCCAAGTAAATATCTGACTTTGTTTGGTCTACTTTAGGGTGGCTATAAACATCCTGAACCCAATCCCGGAATTTAACAATCCATCCTGATTCCGAGGTGATGATTACACTATTTAGAAACAGAATCCAAAAAATTTACCCATCCAACTGTTTAGATACAGTCACAATTACATACAGAGATTTTGTTGGAAAAGCTCAAAGCAATAGAAGAAGTTCTTCGGTTTCCTCTCCTAGTACTTCACCACTGGCCAAGGCATAGTATGGAGTGCAGCAGGTCCTGATGTTTTCATAGAAGGGAAAATTTAACTTTCAGATGGGTGTGCCCAAATACAACCAGTCTCAGGCAGACCACACATTATACATATTTTTCATTCAACCAGTGGGGTGAACGAAAAAAATGTGACTTTCCCCCCATTAACACGTTCAAGGTGGATGGGGGAATCACTCCTGCTATAATATTGTGTTTTCATGGCAGGGAGCCTTCTTTGCTGTCAGAACGCAATGATCAGTGTTGCTGGCTATAGCCAGCGGCACTGATCATTCGGAAAAAAGCTGATATGGCGATTGTACAGAAGTGGAATTGAATTTTGTACAACCAGGGTGCCCATACGTGGTCCCTGCTGAACTGGCAGGATTTTTATCCATATACAACTGGCTTTAGTGAGCCTCCTTTCAAAGCTCATCACTGTTTGGGGTTTTTCGTTTCATGAATAATTGGAATCACCCTTTATAGCCACACTAGCTATACAGTTGAAGAGTCATAATCTTTACAATACTATAGCTTCAGAGTATGGCCCATTCACAATGTATATGATTTACATGATTGGGGTTTACTGGGGGTGTTATGCCTTAAATCTGGCCGAATATCAGCCGGTTCAACAGAAACTGGTCGACATTCAGGCCGTGTGTACAGCAGTCTGTCCAACAGAAGCCAAACGTCTGGCTTCTATAGAATGGGCGTGCCAGAGAAACATATACTGATCAGCATCCGATCACCGCTCGCAGCCAATGGCTGAGATCACTGACCAGTGTGTTGTGGTGAGGGCTGTCCCCCTGTCAGAACACAATAGCTCAGCAGGGAGATTGCTGTACTAAAATTGCATCGTTGGTACAGGGACCTCCTCCCGAGTGCCTCAGTTTTTTGGGGTTTTTTTTTCCTTATTTAGCTCGCTGGGTTGAATAAAAAAACCTCAGTGTGTACTAGGCATTAAATATATGTAAACTCAATCATTACAATTGTATTAAATTGTAACCACTTCCCGTCTGGCCCATGTACATAAACGGTTGAAAGGGAGCAGTGCTGAGGCGGGTCGCTGTTTTTAAATGGCCCCCGCATTCACTGCCTGTGCGTGCTCCTCCGGACACAGCGGAACACCGATCGCTGTACGGGACCTCTGTGTGAGGTCCTGATTCATGTGATCTATGATTGGCCAATCAGTGATCACATGAATAGTAGTAAACAAGATGTCACTTCCTGACATCATTGCATACTACGTGTGAAATCTGTGAATGATCACCGAGGTCACATGGTACAAGGCTATTCACAACAGCCATGTACCATGTGACAAGCTGTGACCAATCACAGCTCTCACAGTATTTCTCAATGGCTGCAAGAATGCAGCCAGAGAGAAAGAGAAATGATTGATTTTACAACCTTTATGAGTGTAAAAGCAATCAGTGTAAAAAAAGAGAAAAAAAAAAATCTTCATCACCCCCCACAAGTAGTACAGTGTCACTATGGGGACACTGTACTGCTAGGGTGATGGTATGTTAAAAAAAACCAAATAATAATATAAAAAAAATAACATAAAAATGTAAAAAGAAATTTGGAAAATTATAATTTTTAGTTATAAACTAATTTGGGTTATTTTTTTTTTACTAAAAATATAACTGAATACATCTTTATGAAGAAAGATTATTTATTTTGCAAAATAAATATAAGAAAAACACTTTTTTTTCCCCAAAATGTTTGGACTTTTTCATTTATATAACAAAACATAAAAATCCCAGTGGTGAGTAAATACCACCAAAATAAAGTTTTGTCTGCCTCAAAAAAAATGCAAAAAAATTCATATGGGTACAGTGTTGCATGACCGAACAATTGCCATTCAAAGTGTGATAGCACAGAAAGCTGAAAATTGACCTGGACAGGAAGGGGGTGAAAGTGTCTAGACTTGAAGCGGTTAAACAAATCTATGTCATTTAAAAAAGTAGTTTTATTATTTAGAAATCTTTAGCTATCGATACAACAATACCTGTTCATTCTGACATGAAGGTCCTGGTTCAGGCACTGCTATATACTAAATGACTCACACAGCCTCTTGGTGACACTATAAATGGCAGTTTCAGCTCTAATTATACATGCCTAGGTCACTGTTGTTGCTATCAGAAAACATGCCCTGAGAAATGTGACAAAGCCATCACTGGAGTGCATGCATATAGACAGGAAGTGGTCATGGAAGTCAGCAGCACCGAGATGCAGCTTAGAATAACAAAGGTGAAAACAAATATAGTCTTTTCTGGAAACAAATTAATTAACACCATACACCTTCCCCCACCCAACCTATCCCCACTGTACTTACCTCAGCTGTAAGTGCCCACGCAGCCTGTGTCTCGATCCAGGGATTTTATATCCCTCCTCCCTTTTTCTGTAGCATTTCCTGGACAGATTAGAGCAATTCTGATTGGTGAGCACCGGCACAAAGTATTGCTCTGATCCATCCCGGAGGTGCTTCAGAAAGAAAGGGGAGAAGAGCAGGGATTTCACATCCCCGGACTGCTGCATTGGCTGTGTAGGCACTGACAGCTCTGCATTCAGAGAGGTAAGCACCACAGGTGGACTGGGGGGATGGGGAGGGTGTACTATGTCAGTTCACCTTTTAATTTTTTTTAAAAGGTGAACCAATGCTTTAAACAAATGGCAGTTGTCTTAGCACTGCTTTAGCAAACTAGATGTCCTTTAGTTTAGCTTTACATCTACTTTAAAAAGGAACTTCACTCCTCCACCTGCCCTCTGGGTTGGCCTCGACAGACATAGACATATGCCCAGTGAATCCAGCATTATCCTTCTGTGATCCACTGAGCCTTTGCTGCGGGCCAGGTACTGCACTGCCATCTTGTATTCTGATGTCATCGGGAGACGGCTGTCCCTTCCTGGTTAAGGCAGGTGGCCCTTGATGACTCATCCACATCTCCAGCTGCAGGTCGGTCCTCCCTCATCCACCCGCAGGTCCTCCCTCATCCACCCATAGATCTGCCCTCATCCACCTGTAGGTCTGCCCTCATCCATCTGCTGTGGTCCACACTTCAGTTTTCGTATGAAGGTCCACTTTAACCACTTCAAGTCCGGACACTTTTACCCCCTTCCTGTCCAGGCCAATTTTCAGCTTTCAGTGCTATCACACTTTGAATGACAATTGCGCGGTCATGCAACACTGTACCCATATGAATTTTTTTGCATTTTTTGAGACAGATATAGCTTTATTTTGATGGTATTTATTCACCACTGGGATTTTTATTTTTTTAGCTATGTAAATGAAAAAGTCCATAAATTTTGAAAAACAAGTGTTTTTCTTATATAAGTTTGCAAATAAAATAATATTTCATCATAAACCTTTAACAAAATGTATTCCGTTATATTTTTAGTAAAAAAACAACAATAACCCAAATTAGTTTATAACCAAAAATTATAGTTTTTGAACACTTTTTTTTCCTTTTTATTTTATTTTTTATATTATTATTTATGTTTTTGTTTTTTTTTTTACATACTGTCACCCTAGCATTGCAGTGTTACCATTTTTTTTTTCTTTTACACTGATTGCTTTTACACCAATAAAGGCTGTAAAAGCAATCATTTCTCCTTCTCTCTGGCTGCATTCTTGCAGCCATTGAGAACTACTGTGTGACCTGTGATTGGTCACAGCTTGTCACATGGTACAAGGCTGTTGTGAATAGCCTTGTACCATGTGACCTCTATGATCATTCACAGATTTCACACGTAGTAAGCAATGATGTCAGAAATGACATCTTGCTTACTACTCTGCATGTGATCACTGATTGGCCAATCAGTGATCACATGATTGGGACCTCGCACAGAGGTCCCGTCTGACGATCGGTGTTCCACTGTTTCCGGAGGACACAGCTGGCACCGGATCGCGGTGCTGCACGCTCCCAGGGAGCGCGCACAAGCAGGAGGCCATTTATAAACGGCCACCCGACCCTGCACTGCCACCGTCCGGCCGTTTATATACAATGGCCGGACTGGAGGTGGTTAAGTTGCTAGTGTTAAAACAAATTTGGCAAAAGTGGAGATGAAATGAGACTGAAATTGAATCCCTAAAAAAAGTGCATAAGCTGGAGAGAAGTCAGTAATACATTCCTGTGTACTAGACACATTTTTAGGGTACTGTCCCTTTAAATGCTGCTCTAATTTTTACAGCTTACAAAAAAAAAAAAAAAAAGTTTGTTCTGAGAAAGCTTTAAGTTGCACTTGTAAATGCTTCTGTTTAAATAATCTTTAATTAACCAAAGGGATGCACTATGAAGATTTCATAAAATCATTAAACGGAAGAGTTTGAGTTTAATGGGATCCTTTGTGGTATTAAAAAATTGTATTTATTTAGTTTAATTCTAAATGTCTGTTATAACTACCACTTATTCTAGTTCATTACCGCCTGCTCATGACTTGGGCCTGTTTGCTGTTATATTTTCTGCTATTGTATCCTTTAATTAAATTATTACTGTTTTTGTAGACTGCACTGTACAGCTGGTGTGTTCTTGGTATATAATTTTTGGTAATTATATATTTTATCAAAGCATTAATTTGCTTTCTTGGCGAGTTTCAACAACATTGTTCAGTGTGAAGGATCTAGCTGTGCTTAGTGTGGTCAACCATGTTGTTGGTTTTAGGGGCCTTGTACTCAAAGAAGGATATAGGTTGCCGTTGTTGCAATGTCCTGAAATTGTAATTTGCCTGGTTGACCACACAGGTGGTTTAAATATCTGCAGATCAGGCATTCTTATTTCTTGCTTCACTGGCTACATGCTTGTTTATCAACTGAGGGTTGTGTGTTGAAAATGTAACGTGTTCCCTAATCTTTTTCTACTCTCAGAGCTGAGGGGGGCCTGTTCCTAAATGACAGTATTGCAAGATGGTGAATTGTGTAATGATTTCATATCTCCTGATTATCATCTGAAAGAGTCTTTATAGCCTCATACACAGTGAACGTTTAGCCCTGGTGCATGAGGCTTCAGCGTTTTAAGCATTACTAAAGACTTAAAAATTTTTTTCAAAATAACAAAACATGTCATACTTACCTGCTCTGTACAAGGGCTTTGTACAGCGCAGACCTGATCCTCCTCTTCTTGGGTCCCCATTGGCGCTCTGAGCTTCTCCCCCCTGCAGATTGTCCCCATAGCAAGCCACCTGCTAGGGGAGGCACTCGTGCATACTAGCTCCCAAGCCTCGCTCTGTGTGTCCATAAGATACACAGAAACGGGGCTTCGCCCTGCCTCCGCTCCCTCACTGGCTGTGATTGACAGCAGTGGGAGCCAATGGCTTCTGCAGCTGTCTCTGAACCAAGGAGGAGGCAGAGAGCCAGGACACCAGTCACTCTTGTGCACATCGCTGGATTAGGCTCGGGCTAAGGTAAGTATTAGGGGAGCTGTGGGGGGAGCTGCATACTTTCAGGCTTTACAACACTTTAAGTGCCGGTGGAAAGTACAGGTGCATTGTCCCGCCTCCCTGTAAAAGTCTATCAGAGCCTGTCAGCTAATGTGATTGTATGGGGCTGGATGGTGCACCAGGCGGTATATACAATTAATGCAGAATGTGTCCAGAGATGAATGCCCTGAATGCAGACTGCTTGCATTCTGAGCATTCATCCTTGGGCGCATACTGCCCTATATGCTCATACCACTCAATGCACCATCCAGCCCAGTCCAGCCACATCAGCTGTCAAGCTCTCATGGACTTTTACAGGCTGCCAACAGCAGAGCTGGATGGTACACCTGTTCCTTCCACCCACACCTAAACATCGCCGGGGTGGAACATCCCGTGTGCATGAGGCCTGTAGTTTAGGGATTTCCATCCAATTGATGGATCAATATAAGTGACAGAAATACACTATATTGCCAAAAGTATTTGGACTCCTGCCTTTACACACACATGAACTTTAATGGCATCCCAGTCTTAGTCTGTAGGGTTAAATGTTGAGTTGGCCCACCCATTGCAGCTTTAGCAGCTTCAACTCTTCTGGGAAGGCTGTCCACAAGGTTTAGTAGTATGTCTATGGGAATGTTTGACCATTCTTCCAGAAGCGTATTTGTGAGAAGGCCTGGCTCTCAATCTCTGCTCTAATTCATCCCAAAGGTGTTCATCGGGTTGAGGTCAGGACTGTGCGCAGGCCAGTCAACTTCCTGCTCCCCAAACTCACTCATCCATGTCTTTGTGGACCTTGCTTTGTGCACTAATGTGCAGTCATGTTGAAACAGGAAAAAGGGCCATCCCCAAACTATTCCCACAAAGTTGGGAGCATGAAATTGTCCAAAATGTCTTGGTATGCTAACACCTTAAGAGTTCCCTTCACTGGAACTAAGGGGCCAATCCCAACCCCTGAAAAACACCCAACACCATAATCCCCCTCCACCAAACTTTACAGTTAGCACAATGCAGTCAGGCAAGTACCGTTCTCCTGGCAACCGCCAAACCCAGACATGTCCATCGGCTTCCCAGACAGAGACGCGTGATTCGTCACTCCAAAGAACACATCTCCACTGCTCTAGAGTCCAGTGGTGGAATGCTTTACATTACTGCATCCGCAATGCACTTTGTATTGCACTTGGTGATGTAAGGCTTGGATGCAGCTGCTCGGCCATAGAAACCCATTCCTTGTAGCTCTCTATGCACTGTTGTGCTAATCTAAAGGCCACACGAAGTTTGGGGGTCTTTAGCTATTGACTCTGCAGACAGTTGCCGACTTCTGTGCGCTTCATCATGCGCTGTCCCCGTTCTTTCATTTTACGTGGCCTACCACTTTATGGCTGAGTTGCTGTTGTTCCCATTTGCTTCCACTTTCTTATAATACCACTAACAGTTGACCATGGGTGCTTGATTTTATACACCTGTAACCTTGAAGGTGATTGGAACACCTGAATCCAATGATTTGGAGGGGTGTCCCAAAACTTTTGGCAATGTAGTGTAACTTACATTGGGAGGTTGATATATTCTCCACAAATTTTTCATCATAGTTTATGGCTTTTAGCAGTCTCCATACAAACCTTTTGGGTAATTGTGTTTGATGGCTCCGTATACATGTGTGGAAGGCCCAGGACCTTTTCCCTTCCACAGCTCTGTGATGTTGGTGCAAGACAGATATCAAAAAGAGAAAACAGTGCTCACCTTTACCTTCATGGGACTTGACAGAGGCACCCTTGAGTTTCTGTTTCCAGAGAAAGAGAAGTAAGACTTGGATCTCGAAAGGGACAAACATTTTTGCTGAGGAAAATATACACGACTGACATGGATTGTGATACATGACTAGGCCACTTCTCCAAGATTAGTTTGATTAGATTAGAAGAGTTGTTGCTGCCTTTGTTATCCAAAATGACTGTTTAGAGCAAGGTTTGTCAACCAAGGATTCATGGAACCCTAGGGTTCCTATAGGGGCTGCAAGGTGTTTCTTGAGCAATGAGCAATTTATGTCTCTCAGATAAGTTCCCACTGACATCATCAATCTTTTTAGCTATCTGTTAGGGGTAATCCTTCTCAATGATCACAAATGTAAGGAGCATTTTTCCACTGACCATCTCATAAATGTATCATGAGATGTAGCTATAGTAACTTTTAGGGGTTCCTTCAGACCTGAAAGGTATTTCAAGGGTTTCTCCATGTTGAAATGGTTGAGGAGCTGGAACAGCATAGAATGTAATTAGACACTACCAGAAGAGGAGAAAACTATACAAGGAAAGAAGAGACTGTGCTAGAAAACTGACTCTTCTTGAAGAAGACAAGTTTGCTAGCAAGTTTAGAGGCAGGAAAGAGAGGAAAAATGCATATAGTAAACATTTAAAATACCTTTTTTTGCTTTTATCTGCATTTTTCTAAGTTGGTGACAGGGTCTCATTATAGAGTAGTTCCAATACATAAAGACAACTAGTGCACTACTTATCTTAACTGTACTTTTTCATCATTGCCTGACTGAACCAGGACTTTTTGGCCCCTTTCACTTGGGCAATCCTATCTGCCTGGCGAAGGAGTGAGCATGCTTTGAATGCGAGCCATCTTGGAAACCCAGCCCATGCGGTGACATCATCTCTGTGAGCCTCCGTGTGCCCCTCTGATACTCCCTGAGCCCTGGACACCACCAGAAGCGGTGGGAGAACACCCAGAGCGCTGCTAAAGGACCTGATGTTCCCACTGGACCTCCATAACTTGACATACCTACCTGTTAGCTATCTATGTGAGTGCAATTTTACCATTAACCATCTACACTTAGAGTGGTGTTGCTGTCTCTCCTATCAGGTCCGCCTATCAGTTTTTCAGGCGGACCTGATCAGATGTTCCATTTATCCCTATGGATCAGCAAATCTAAAGGGACTTGTGCCCATTTACACCCGCTACCTCCAATCTGATCCGGTCAGCTAAAAAAAAATGGGGATCTGTCCCCCTCCATCTAGGCGGATTAGATCAGAGGGCAATCAGCGGGCAGTCGGGTGTGAACAGACAGCAGAGTCTGTTTATACTCAACAGCCCATAGGGCAGAGTGGGCTCTATCCGTTTACAGTCAGCATAAACTGGGTGGACACAAAACTGTTATCTGCCCACTCTGCTCCGATCAGCAGGGGATCAATGAACAGATCCCCTGCTGATCTAATTGGAGTCTGTGAAAGGGGCCTTAGAAGGCATAAAAGTGGAACAGCAGTGCCTTGCCACTCCTCTCCCTGAGGACTTACCCATATGGAAAAAAAATATATTTGAAATATATTTTAAAAATATTCTTCCCAAATATATTGACATATATTTGAAATGCTACAATTTTGGCCATATTCAATATATTTCAAAATATATTTCAATAAATATATATATCTATACTGCATGTTGAAATGCGTTTTTTTATTAT